CTACAGATATGGTCTCAGATATTGATAAGAGGCACACAGGTGGCCGATCTGTTTCAAAGGGTTAACATACTGTATTTATCTCATATAAAACACGCAAATATCTGAAGACAAAATGATCTGACTTCGATATGACATCAAAGCGATATATTTTCTTATCATTGATTTTCAACACGCGTTAAAAATGAGATGATTCATTCGTAAAAGGTGTATTTTTATCACATGAGAAGTGTCACATTAGTTTTTACTTCCAATTTAATCAAACGATTAAATGTGTATCATTGATACTAAATGTCCTTGTAAAGAGACAAGGTCGAATATCGATGTCAGTATCAGACGGTAAAAGGTTTTTTTGTCCAAGAAGAAAATTTTTGTTTTTCTCAAGCTCAAGTTGTGCATTTCTACAACAAAATCAAAAATATTAACTTGACTGATCAAATACGTGCTTTATATCAAAAGAAGAATCATATTTTTAAAATCGTATCGCATTTGAAGACGTTCATGATATTATGTTTTAAATTAAATGCATCAAAAAAAAAGAAGAGGAAAAAAGAGGAAGGAAAAAAAAGAAATTATGAAGATTTTTCTTTTATTGATATTTTTTTTAAAAAGTCATTCGTTTTATTAGCAATAATTGCTTTATGAGTTTAATGAAAAGTGAATATAGGGCTAATAAATGGCAATTAATATACTGCACATTGGCACACATATTTCACTACACTATACTTATAAATTTAACAGCAAACACTTTATTATGTTTGCTCTTAAGTTTTGTGCAATATTATTTTATTCTTGGCAATAATTTTGTAGTGGGTTTAATAATATTGCACGCATGAAGTAGTACAAATTTACGGTTCTTACAAATTTAATTGCGTACACAGCATAACTTTAACTACATTAGATAGTAATGTTTAGCCTTGATGCCATGTTATTTATTAATCGATAGTTTTGATAATTAAACTAAGAGGAACAGCATAGCTAAATAATTCAAATTTTATGACGAAATATTTCACAGCATGATAGGTAATTGGGGAAAAGATTGCATCTTTTTGAAAAACTGCCCATTTTTAGAGATAATTAATATTTTTATTCCAAATCCTTCAGCAATTTTTTTTCTTCTTAAGAGTCGTCCATGATCTTGTAAAATAAACGAAAGTTAAGAAAGTAAATATCTTCATATTACGCAAGTGATTATATTTTATGAGGCTCAGTTTTAATCCTTACCCAACACCAGTTCAGTGACCGTAGTTACTTTTATTGTTTTTTGCCCAAAACCTGATGTTATGAAACAAAAATAAATTATTTTGTGCAAAGAATTCAAATCATATGACACAGTAAATTTAGATTATGAAAAAGAGCAAGTCACGTGTGCTTATAGACAGATAACCATGTTCTTAACCTTACTAGTTTCTTGATCAGTTATTTATTTATTTATGCTTTTTTTTTTTTTTTGGACTAGCAGATTATTATACTCAAGTTATACTCATTAGATTAGCTCTGCTTTATTTCATTTAAAACTAAAGGTTTTCGTTCATTAGCACCCGTAGTGGTTTCAAGTTCATAATTTTTTTGTTTTTTTATCTTAAAAATCGATATTTTTTGAAAGAATCATTTTGTTAATGAAATTATGATTATTATAATTTTACGTGAGAGCAATCGCGAAAAAAACCATTTAAATGTAGGAATTTTAATTTAATTTTTTTGAATTAATTTGGGAAACGATTACGGGGAAAAAAATATTTAAATTTAGGAATACAGAATACGTGTGGCACAATAAGAAGTAATTTTTTTTTTGCTTATAAAATGAAGTTCTCGAGAGGAATAAATAGATTTTTCTACAACAAAGGATAAATAGTCATTATTTAAAGCATAAAAAGTGAAAAATATTCGTTAAGCAACACATAAAATTGCAATAACTTTCGAACAAATTGAAATTTCGCGAGCAAAAACCGTATTAAGTTTATTAACAAAAATGGTTCCTTAGGCAATTTTTAATTCTGTAGTTGCATTTCGGCGGCCTAAAGAGTGGCCCGTTTTTTTACTAGAAATTTAACAGTTGATAATTCTCAAATTAATTATCGAATGTGGATTTTTTATACCATTTATTCATTTTTTTCTTATCCCCTGATTATAATTATATTTAATTATAATCAGTCAATAATATTTTTCTACATACCTTTGTAATTTCAAGTTTCTAAGTTGTATTTATTTTATTTATTTATTTATTTTTTTGCTTAGCAAAACAAAACGTAACATAGAGTTGAACACCTAAAATATTCTAAGATATTCCAACTTTTAATTGCCCATTTACGTTTTTTTTTTCTCTTTTAAATATATAGCGAGAGATCTACAATATATTTAATTTAGTTTATTACTCCAATGATATATGGATGTCGATGTCTACTAACACTTTTATGTGGATATAAATCGATCGTAATTATTTTATATTGGTAGAGGCAACTGTGTTTTGTTTTATAAGATATTATACCATAAAAGTTCATTTAACCCCCTCTGAATTTTAATTCCGAAGTTCCTAAATATTTATTTACAAGTCATTGAAACTTTCACAAAATCAGAATTTTTTATGTACTCAAATCCTTTTATACACTGAGAGAAAAAATGCATTGTCAAAACTACCAGAATATGGTAAAATTTACCTCATTCATTACTAACTTTATAGCAACACTAAAAAGCATGGAAGCATTTTGATAATTGTTTGGGTAAAATTAACAATAAAATATAGTTTTATAATGTGTGACAAAATTTAGTAAATGTGGTAAAATTTGGTAATTTCATCATGATACCTTTGAACATGGCAGAAAATCCGTTTATTCAATTAAATTTACAATTCAAATTTGTATTTATTACTAAATGTGTTGTAGTAAGAACTATAATTTTAAAAACCAGAACTTCCGGTAAACCGTAACCACATTAGCGAAAAAATTACCAATTGAATGGTTAAAATACCGCATATTTTGGTTTTATTAATCAGAATTATGTTGTTTTTTTTACCTAAAATGTCATAACCATACAGTATAGTAATTTAACCATAATTTTTTTCTCTGCTGTACATACGGGTCAGTTCCGCGGCACGGAGTTTATGGAGCCCTCTCCAAATTCTTTCAACTTTTGAAAAGTTAATAGACAAAATACTATTTTTAAAAAAAATTAAAATCTTGCAGAATAGCAAGATATAATTCATAAATCATATCATATTCATCCGCATATTATATAATTCATCATCATATTATCAAAACTGTTTTTACTACAGATATGGTCTCAGTCTTCAGTAAGAATTCTTAGTAAGTATTGTTTGGAACAGAATTCAAAAAAGCAAACGATTTTTAACTGCGTTGAATCGGCTCCACCCAGCTTTCTCATCCCTAACCGAAAATTAAACCTGACCTTGATTGCTAAAAATCAACCTTGAGACATTTTTTCTAACTTACCTTCCTTGCGCATTGTTTTTTTAAAGAGTTCTTGATTATATTTTTATTCATTTCTCTTTTCATTATTCCACGCTTGCTTAGAGAAGCAAACTGAAGATGTCTACGCAGAGGAATTTTTTACCTGGAGGTTACAGGTATGGAATAACATGAGCAATGGGTTGGATGTTGGGTGTGGGGGGCCCAAAAGATGCTAGATTTGTAGACATAGACAACTGCGATTCACGGAATTGCTTTAGGCTTTGGTATATAAGGAAAGACTTGAACTTGATTATTATCAGTTGAGTCAAGTGAAAGTGTTCGCGATGAAACTGGTAAGTCTGTGTTTGATAAGATTTAATTTCTTTTTAAGTTAAATAATAGGAGGTCAATAATTATGAACAATCACTTATACAGTAGTTAATCTAATAGTTAAAGCCACCGAGAAGGGTAGCAAATAATCTATACATAAAATAAAATTTAGAATTTGTGTACGCCTGTTTGACCGTGCGTCTATATACCCACTTGCTGATAGATCGTAAGCTCTAAAAATACGAGATTAAAAATTAATCTAAATAAATAAAATTATGAACGAATTAGGAAGCCCGATTTTTTATTTTATTATATTTTAAATTCAGGGACACTTAATGAAATTTTCTCATTGACTTAGTGGAAGCCAGTGTTTTAAAAAATGCTATGTACGATTCAGTTTGTTTGTTTTTTCCAAATATTTTAAAGATAACTTAAGCTTCTAGCTCTTATCACAAAAGCTGTTTATTGTGCCTCTTGTAATTTATATGTTACTTATATTTTATTTGTTATGCCAGGTTATCTGAATGATCAAACTGATCGTGGTAGCATAAACAAACTACATCACCAAATAATTATTCTTAAGTTCATCTGAAGCCACATATTTATTTTGTTTACAGTAATGCTTTTAAATAGTGATTTTACAAAACTAAATCGACGGTAATTGAAATAAAAATAAAAGTTTTGTACTGAGAGATAAAATTATTGGAAAAATGGAACTAATTCACTGAGGAACAAGCATAAAAAAAAAACAATATTACTATTGACGCCAAGGATAATTTATTTTGGCAAATTACTACTTAAAGTACAATCAGGAACCGGGCGGTCAGAGGGGGCTTTAGCCCCCTCACTTTTTCTAAAAGAACGTGACACCACCCATTTTAAAATTACAATTTTTCACTCAATATTCGTGTAATTTAATTTACAACAAAAAAAAACAGATAATTTTTCTGTGTCTGAATTAAAGGAAAATGTCTCTAATTCAAGTGAGCTTTAACATTTCCTTGGTGAAAACTGCTACCAAATAATCCAAAACTCATCCTTCCACAAATATACGTCCCTATTCCTGCCCGATGGGAAAATTCTTGTTTTCATACGTCACAGTGAACAGAATAATTAGGATACATTCTTAATAAAAAATGAAGCAGAATAAAATTAAATAATGCTAATATATGTATATATATATATAAAATATTCTATGAGCTAAAAAGAAAAATTAATTTAGAAAATCCGTAAAAAGCCGGGGAACCGTCGATATACTATTATTGACAGTTAATTTTGGTTATGGGCTCTATTGGCATTATGGATCAAGTTTCAATAGATACCAAATATACTCTTATATAGGTACAACGCATTTTTGAGTAAATTTAGTGCTGATTACTGTTGCAACAATATTGTACATTTTCATGTTAGATTTATTATATAGATAGATATGTTCAGGAGAAAGTAGCTTGACTGTGGCAAATTTTAAATATCATGAATCACCTTTAAGCAACAATATAATGTCAGATGATACCAAATACAGTTAGTCTTTATTTTAATGGGATGAACTACTAAAAATCAGCTTTGCTTAATCTAATAATGTAAAGCAACTGAAAAAGTAAACGAATAACAATAAATAAATAAACATTGGAATCATTTTAACTTTATTATTTGTGTCGATATTCGTCTGGAAATTTTGTGCACGATTTTGTAGTGTTGTTCAGTACAGATTTATTGATGCGTTTTTTCTTTTTCTTCACCCCGTACGAAGAACGGGCATTTAGCTAGTAAATATATAAACAGCGATAAAAACCTCTCCCTATTTAAATTGTTATAAATCTCGCCAACGGTTAAAATTACTTCTCATTTATTTCTTCGTATTACACAATCTGTATTCCTAGGGTTAATATTTTTCTCAAGTACAGATGTTTATTTTTCAAATGTAGGTAATCGTTTATTTTGTTACGATTAACATATTAACAAAAATGTTCTTACATAAATTAAAGCCTTCTTAAAGTTTTTAAATTAAAGCCTTCTTGAATAAAGGATTCTAAACGAAAAAAAAATCTTTTTCTTTAAAAAATTACTATAAATTGCTTTTAAATATTAAGTTCTTATTCTGAATTTCAGCTAAATTGATTCATAAAAAAGATTTTTTTAAAAAAAAAAAGAACAATAACGTCTTATTAAAACATAAAAATACGAATTGTCTTAAAGTAAATAATTCTTAATACCCAGAATGACGCAAGCAGCTTACGAAACGCATGCAAATAAATCTTTCTACATTTACATTTACATTCTCAGTCTTTCATTTAATGTAACACGGTTATGTCCTTATTGTAATGCAATATCTTACTTCTCGAAATTTATAAGAAATCACTTTTTTTAATATTTTAAATACTTTTTAGAAGTAAAAACTGTAAAATAGTTTCGGGTGATTTGATATTTAATGTTGGATATGTATATTTTTAAAATTTCTGTTTTTTTTTTTTGTTTTGTTAAAAAAGAAAAAAAACACTAAATTTATCTTGTTATAATCTCGCAAGCTTTAAATAACAAATAAAGTACATTTATAATCATTGGTTTAGTTCGACCAAAACGGGGTTTTCATGTACGATGGTTTTTTTTAAACTGGGAGATATTTACTAATTTATTTTATTTCATTCTCGTCATCACTGGTTTGATAGCCCAGTTTGGGACAAGGCCTTCTTTAGTAGAATCCTCCTGACATCTCTTCTAGGCGCAATTGTTCTCGATGCAAAAAATTTTTCGGTCATTTTTTTAAAGAAGAAGTATGCAGTTTCACAAGAACAGAAGATAACACTATTTCTAAAAAATTCGTAGAGTTCCTAATAAGACTTCAATAATAGCGCGATTTCCGTTCAATACGTTACTCATATAAATCATAGCTTAAAATAAAATTGATTAACGATTACTAGTACTGCAACTTTTTTAAACAACCCATCCCTCACTCCACTCCATATAATTGTTTTTCAACCAACTTTTTCATGTTTCGAAAAATATTGTCTTAGAACTTGATACTAATGATGCAATGTTAGGAAGATTTTCATTGAGTTCAGGACTAATCAAAAAAAATTTAATTTTTATTTAAAAAATGTATATTTTGTATGTATTTTTCTTGTTTTTAGAAATAGGGATATTTATTGAAATTTTGGAGGAGAATGTATCTATCAGACATCGAAACATTCCCCCCACCTCTTATGGAAGGGATATTGGTTTTTCATGAAGAAAACAATGATAATTAATTCCCGATTTGTTTTCACCACGATATTTAAAATAAAAGGATACTTTATTTTTAATTTAAAAATTTAAAGTGAATTTCTCTTAATTATTTCATTGGTATTCTTTTTTTAAAAAAATCTTGAGAATAGCGAATGAAGGAATGGGGGGGAGGTGGAAGAAAGCGAAGGTGAAGAGTGCTGGTTAACCTAAGTAATCGAATTTAGTTGTTTAGAGCCGGGATAGTCTGTCTGATCGGTAGGGCGCTGGGCCTATGTCCGAGAGTTCGTGGGTTCAAACCCCCCCGGTCGAAGACTCCCCGTGTATAGTTGGTGACTGATGCACGTTAAAAATTCTGTCGAGTCGCAAAGTCCTCCATGTTCCCATAACAAATCAATACCTCTGGGGGTACTGGAATGGCAATCGATCGTTCTCTGATTCAGATCAAAATTACGATCTGTGGATGAATGAATGGATGTATGAATGGGTCCATCTTATAAACAGGTGTGACGTATGATGTGGCAGAAGTCGAATTCTTGGCCGTAGATGGCGCCACTGAAAAACAAGAATCGTACACTCAGCCTTAAATTTACTCGGTTTCACCAAAGCAAGCTTGTCCGTGTGGCAAGTGGCATTAGCCAACCAACCCAATCAGTTGTTTAGAAATTCTCTAATAAATTATCTTGTTTAATCGTCAACCTATGAACTACACCATTGTGGAGCTAAGGATGACCGCAGGACTTCTAGGACAGCAACATTTTAACTATTACAAGCTTTGAACAAACAAAAAAAACAAAAACAAAAAAAACATTTTTTTTTTTTGAAGAGATTAATTATTGATCTGCTTGACGGGCTCAGTTATTCTATAGACGGGCTTCTGACATTTATGGCCTACTCAATGCACTCCCAACTCTATTTCGAATTTTTTGTTGCTGCTTTATATAAATTTTTACGTCGTTATTTTAATATTAGTACTTAAATTAGGGATACCTGCAAGAGGGTCACGTCACAGTAGACATTTTAAGTTGCAGCAGTAGACATTTTAAGAAAAGGGAATGCTCTTCTTTTGAAATTTCAGAAGATAAATATAGTTTTTAGATTACACTAATATAACAAGATATTTTTGAGAATATCTTTTTGTTGGTGCTCTACAGTGATAATCACTAGAAAAGTTAAGTATTTATTTTCTAATAGATTAGATTTATTGATTGCCCATAAGGGACAATGAAAAATTCGTTTACTTGCAGACTATTTTTACAATGAAAAAAGGTTTGACACATGTTTTTCGAGATCACAAAACGTAACTATGATAATAACCTATTTGGAGTTAGGACCCACCACCACAGCTTAAAATTCTCTGAACAAGCAATTTCTCATTTACTCTTTTTTTCAATTTTATTTTAAGAATATTAATTTTCTTTCATTTAATTTTTGTTAGGAAACAAAGTTGCTTATTTATACGTTATTTTAACAATAGCAAAGAAAAAAAACTTTGCTCGTATTCTTCTAAGACCCCAAAAGTTAGCAACTCCAGTTGGGTCCTTAGCTTAAAATCTCTGATAGAATTGTTCTTTCACTTCGAGTACATTAATTTTTCTTTATTTAACTTTTTTCAGATAATCCTGTTTAGCTTCTGTGTTGGGACGTTGGCAGTTCCTATGTTCCAGTCCGTCTCTGTCAAAGATGATGGTTCATACGACTTCTCATATGAAACTGGCAAAGAGGGTGGAAGCCACAGTCGCACTGAAAAAAGAAATCCTGATGGTGTAGTAATAGGAAAATTCTCTTACGAAGATCCAAATGGCGCTATTAGAGAAATAAGTTACAGAGCAGATGAGTCAGGATATGTTGCAAATGGAGATGTAAGTGTCGAAGGTGCACCCAAAGGACAATTTCCTGCAGTACCAGAATTCAACAGCGATGATCCAGTTGCACCAGAAGATGATAAAAACCCAAATGTATTAAAACCTGAAGACGAGGAAACACCACATGCATCCGAGCAGCATCATTCTGATGAAGAATCTCACCACGATGATATCCACAATTTGTCTCTGGAAGAGCCCTCAGCAAATGAACCTCCAGAAGCTTTTCCCGAAGGGTACTTTTTACACAAATTTACAGGCCTTCGAAGACTGCCTGAGCCTACGAAAGAAGAACCGACCGCAACTTCGGCTCCAACAACTGAAGCATCAGAGCCTCAAGCTTTTCCTGTTAGTGTTACAGAGGATCAGCCACCCCAAGAAGCGGTGATTGCAAGTGATGCTGCTAATGAAGAACACAACAAAATAAATAGAGAACCTACTAGCGAAATGGAATTGCTCATGCATCCGAGGCCTTTTCAAGGGTTCCACTCAGCGCAGTGGACTTCTTCTATGTTTCATCAGCCCGTGTATGTATTTTCTTACCAGCACCCCGAGTCTTTTGGGTATTATTACTACTACTAATTCAACTTTATCAGCTTTCATACCCAAAACCCTTTACATATTTTTTTTCTGTTTCTGTTGATGTAGGGGTGCACAACCTGAAGTCAAGAGACTAGATGCGACCCTCAAACAACCAATGTGTGGGGTTCACATCTTCCAACCAAACAAATTGTTCGAAAAAATTGCACAACTGGAAAAGAAATTTATGTATAAATTTTTAAACTAATTTATATGAATTTTGAAAGTACACGGAAATTATAACAATAAAATTTCAAACTGAAGGGGTAATAAATTGAGGTACCAAAATTTTTAAAACTGTTGACATTACAATTTTTTTAAGAAAATTTTCTTTAACCGAATCATGAAATGACTTTCATAAAGTAAATAAGGGAAAGTGGAAAAGCTTTGTTGCAGATATGACCAGATGGCAAAGACTACTTTGGACGGCCTTGGCCTGTAACAGACTATAGTGCCTTTAAAAAAGAAATCATAAGAATTAGAGATGCAACTAAACTTTGCAAAAATTAATTTCCATGAAATAAAAAGATTAAATTTTCTACAGGAAAATGGCAAACCCACTACAATTTAATTTTATTAAAGACAAAGTAAGCAAAATTTAACATTTTTAATGCAAAAAATGTTATACATATAATTTGCATTTACTTTATATTATATGCTGTAAATTATATATTGATTTTGTAAACAAATGAATACTGTCCTCATTAGGCTAAAGACAAATTAAGTTATTATTAATATAAAAACTTAATTTATTAGGCACTAACAGTTTTTTTTTTATGACTCTTCCAAAAAGGTTGTGCACCTCTGTGTTGAAGAAAAATATGGGAATATATCAGGAAAAAATATAGACAACTATGCTTAAACAATGAACGGGATTTAAAATAAAATTTACAAAATTTCGGTAAAAACAGACAATATGAAAATAAGTGGAATTTTAGTCATTCAAGCAAGATATATACTTATTTATAGGACTATGTGTATCAAAGGTTATTGGAATTCTCACACTTGGTTATTAATAAAATAAAAATGTGATTAATGAATAGTATGTTGTAATGATTGTAACTGCACATGCAATTAAAATATAATCAATTAGTTCGAAATCTAAACAATGAGATAAATTATTTACAGGGTGCTCCGTGATGACTACTCTTAATATATATTTGTTTAGAATCTTGGTCAAAATTTGAGCAGGGAGAAACAAAAACTCTGTACCTACTGAAGTTTATTAAAAATTTCAAAACCACAGTTTCATCGCCATTAATCAAATTGAGGAATTGTGATATTGATGAAATTCAACATACAATTCAATTTGGTGTTTTATATAATATAGATATTCTTCAAAATAACATATGATTTATTTTCTTAGCTTAGTCGAAAAATTTATTTTATTTTCCTCTCTAAGAAAAAAAATGGTTTCCAAATCTAATATAGACAATTTGACTAATTTTGATTTTTTCTTTAACTTCATAAAAACTATTTCCAAGTTACAAAAATAAAATAAAAAAGAAAGACTTCACACCGTATCTTGCTAACTTAAAAGAAAAGTGCAATAAAAGATTTTTTAGTTAATGAAAAATTAAAAAGTAATACATTTTATTAACATTAAATTTAATAGCAAATAAATTTATGAACTGGAACGTCAAAGCATGATAATCCTTCCACCAAAATAAAGTGGTAATTTTCCACGAGACTCATCAAGCAAGAAAAGTAACTGTAGTTACCAAACACTCTACAAATGATTAACAACTTAAAAATCAATTATTGAAAATCAAATTAAATCTAATCAAATTTAAAAATCAGATACAAAATTTATCAAAAGATGATGCTACTAACTATTCTAAAGTAATAAACACTTTTAATCAAAACGTGTGAAAATATTTCAGTTTGAATTGTTTGACTAGCAACATAATACTACGTTTTGTAGTTTTTTTAATCAGTGTGCTGCAATTAGCTAACTTTGGAGCTCCTAATGAAACATGGTAACAAAAAATTTAAAAATAACTAAGTTTGCTGTGTTGTTGCAAATCAAATCAAAACGCACCAAACCATACATTTCTCTCTTCTTTTATATTTTATTTTTCAGATAGTCAGTCATTTTTAAGAAACCCAGTATGAATTACTTTTTAGTTGTGGATCCTGCTATTATTTACACTTAACAAAAAAATATCAATACTTTAAATCAAATTTCAAAATTAATTCCGAAATTTAGAAAAGAATGACGCTAATAACAGTACTAAAGCAATAAACACATACAATCAACAAGTATGCAGATATTTCAGATAAAATGGTCAGACATCCAATATAAAACTATGTTTTATAGCTTTTCTTATCAGCAGTACCTTCAATTAACAAACTTTGGAGCTCATATTGAAAAATAGTAAAAGTATTACTTAATTTTATTTACACAAATAAAAACAAAAACCAGTCTTCATTTAATGCGCAGTGCTTTTTTTTTAAATTGAAATAAAAATTTTAACCAAGATTTGAAAATCAGACTGTACACAAATTCTGACTGAAACCTAGCATCCTGCTTAGCAGAAACCCTCCAGCATTGGCAGTAGGCGCTGCAGATTATTTCAGCATATCCAGGTTGTTTGAATCATAGTTTATTTTTTATTTTTCAAAAGCAGATAAACAAATAGGAGAACATTGCTGACACCTCCTTTTTAAACGTCTCTAAAATTGTTTACAAAAAAATTTTAATTTAAATTGATTGGGCAAAACTAAGAACAAAAATTAAATAAATTTTTTTCCCTTGTGTTACTTGATTACAGGCTTAACTGTATTAGAATTTCCAACAAAGGATAGGAGATACAGCACTTTGTGCTACGTAGACTAAAGCAAAAAGCAACGTAAATGAAAAATAATAAATGAAATAAATGATATATGAACATACTACAGCTCAGTTCTATAAGTAAGAACCTAAGTGCCAAACTTGATAGGCATTGGTAGGTTCATTTCTTTACACTAAATTGCAACCTAATTATTTTGCAGGGGTGCAGAAGATTTCTGATCTTGCTTTAAAAAAACTTTCCTCGTAAAAAAACTCTTAAGTTTTATTAGTTTGATTTCTTTCAGTGGAGCCTTAATTTAAATTATTACTATTTCATCTAACTTTGAATATTATTTTTTCATAAATAGTAAGAAATGAATTTTATCTTCCAAATTAAAGAAAAAAATATTAAAATCTTTTAACAAAGTACAAACTTTACTTTCTAAAAATACTTTGAAAGAATTATTGTAATTAAAAAAAAAAAAAAAAAAATTAAAAATCNAAAAAAAAAAAAGCACTATAACTCTTAGGGAAATTTCAAACTAAACATAACATGCATTCCAGGGAAATATCAGACTGAGTATTTACTGAACCCCTGCGATTTCGATGATTGACATTTATTAAATGCTGTTAATAAACTTACCAATTATATTATCATTAGATACCGGTATTCACTGACAATCTAGATCTGATTGTCAGTTAATTATATCAGCTCCCCAAAAGCTCAATATTGACCACTTTGATCATACCCGCTTTAAAAAAAACATGTGTGTTCCATAAATTACTTACAACATGGATAAGACTCGAAAACACGATTTAGGAATTTAAATAAGGCCATAAAAATATTCACTTATTAATGTGCACATCAAAAGAGGCAGGGTCAAAATCAAAAATGTTCTAATGCATCATTTGAAGATTCAATAAATATGACACTTGGTGGCTATTTGCTTTAAGCATGTAGCACAACAGGAAACTACCAATTTTACTGTGGTCGAAATTGATAGGTTAATGCTATTGAACATAAGTACAGAATTGGTTGTTCGCTGAGATGTATGCCAAGTAACTAGAAGTAACGTTAATGCATCACATCAGTACTATCTAATTACATCATATGCTTATAAATAAAAATCCCTTCATTTGTATTTATTGATATGAAATTTTACAAACTGAATCCAAGATGATTTTTTTTGATAAATAGTTTTAATTTGTGAGAATCAAAATTAAGCATTTCTTACAAGTTTTTAACTGGTAAATATTTTTAAACAGGTATCGAAAAAAACTAGTTTTTCCTACATTATACAACAGGAAAGTAATGCATGTTAGAGATTATATTTTGAGAGTATTCTGACTAATGGCTAAACACTTCGAAGGTTAAAGATGTCTTAGAGACAGATTCTACTTTCCTGTCTCTCATGTTAATTACTAATTCTGTATAGTTATTAAGTTACTAATTAATACTTTAAAAACATTTTTGTTTAATTTATCAAAATGTAGTTTTATAAAGCTGGTTACCAAATTTTTAAAATTTAAATTTTTTAAAATTTAATTTAATAGTATTGTTGTTTTGGCAAATTTGGACTTCATCAATTTAAAAAAAATTGGAGAAAGGAGAACATAATAAACATTGCTCTATAAAAGACATTGGAGAAAGGAGAATTAAAATATGAAAACATAATACCCATAAGCCCCGCTGCTAAACTAGTTAATGCCAAAATATGAAAACAAAAAGTCTAATAAACATAGATAGCACATATTAGTTAATAATGACGATTGTTTTACTCACTATGCCTAATTGATGTATATTCACCTATCATCAATAAAAATAGGCAATAGAAAATAAAAGGTCATCAAAATTTGAATGCTACTTATGCACAAACTTATAAACAATTTATCGTATGTGTCTTAGTCATAACAAGTTAAAGAATTTCTTGCAAATAAACGAAAAACACAATTGAAAGTTTAAATTTCACTTTTATTTTTTAACCGGTGCGTATTTCAGATCTTACATTATAGTGATATCACATTTAAACTAAATGCTGCATTCACAAATTATATTCAAAACACAACTATTTCTTTGAATCTAAGAAAGTTTTCTAAATTTCTAAACTAGGCTCCACCTGACATTTGAGGAGTATCTTTCTTGGACAACCCAGAAAGCAATTTCTTAAGTTCACCAATCGCACGGCCTGGATTTAGGCTTTTCGGGCATGTTTTGGTGCAATTCATTATTGTGTGGCACCGGTACACTGAAAATGGATCTTTCAGATGATCCAACCGCTTTTCGGTAGCTTCATCTCTAGAATCAACCACCCATCGATAAGCTTGCATCAATGCAGCAGGTCCTAAGTACTTGTCTCCATTCCACCAATAACTTGGACACGACGTTGAACAGCAAGCGCAGAGAATGCATTCATACAAACCATCCAGTTTCTTTCGATCTTCAATAGATTGAAGATTCTGCTTCTTGCCATACGGTTCTTCGGTTTTCTTCTGTAGCCAAGGTTGAATAGATTTATATTGCTGGTAAAAATTATTCATGTTAGGAACCAAATCTTTGACTACATACATGTGGGGAAGAGGATATATTTTTGTGCTTTTCTTCACGTCAGTGTCGATTTTGCAAATACAAGCTAATGTATTCACACCACCGATATTCATAGCACAAGATCCACAAATACCCTCTCGACAGGATCGCCGAAATGTAAGCGTGGGATCAATCTCATTTTTTATTTTAATTAAAGCATCAAGAACCATGGGACCACAATTATTCAAATCAACATCATAATTCTGCATCCGAGGTTTCTCTTTGGAATTGTCTGGATCCCATCGATAAATGGAAAATGATTTTACATTTGTTTCAACAGCAGCTGCAGTAGTAGCATTTCTTTGCTGGATGACAATGCATTTACCAAATTTACAGATATCACGAAAAAATACATTTGCACTAACCATGGCCATGATAAAAAGACCTCTTTAATTTTCGGACCTATTATATAACTGCAATTGACTTGACATCCAAAACAATACACTACGCAAGCAATGACATGTTGCCATTTCAAGAAATGAAAAATAAAAATCAAAGAAAATATCTGCGAATCAGAGGTCATATCCTGTTTTATCAACTGAGAAAACGAGTTGATCTGTAATTTTAAGTGGTTATTCCCACTAAAACAATTTTTTCACCGCATGTGATTGAAAAACTCGCCACTCAAGTTCATATTCGCATACATCACATCTGGCGAGAGTGAAACTTAAGAGAGCATTCACACTGTAGGCGTTTGCAAGAGTAACCTGCTCGCAGAGATCAATCGCAAATAGCATTGGAATCCGATCGCATATGCGAGTTGCATGCAGTAAAAATGCTCCATAAGAATGAAATTATAAACGATGATTATATTTATTTCTTATGAGAAATTTTTACAAGATTGATTATTTTTTTAATCTATCACATGAATTTGGTGCCCCATCCTCTTCACAGGCATTTTTTGTATCATAAAGAAATTAAAAAAAACATATTTCATTTCATTATTGTGTTGGCATTTCAACTTGTATGATTTGTGATTGGACATTGGAGAATTGTTTTCTTTCTTACCGCCGAATCATTTTTTACTGAATAGAAGTATATTTTTAATAAATTATCCGGGGATATTATCATAACTACGGCAAGTTGGCGAAGAGTCGCCGAGGAAGGCAGATAACGTTTCTGGCGGAGGGAACCAGTTTTCCTCAAATCATGACGTTTACGCCTCTTCCTTCTCATTGGCTCAAATTCCCTGACTACTCCTTAGAACTTATCGGTTAAGATATATCAGTTATTAAGTAACCGGTTCCGATTTCTTGTTCTTAAATAACGTATACAAAATATTAGTTCTTGAATAACGTACGGTGTCAGTTCCNGTATGAAAGTAATTTGTGAATCTCTCCTGTGATATATATATTTCTTATAATATTAAAACTCATTACACATCGAGTTATATTGTGAGTACGCTGTATTTTATTTTGTTCAGTATATAACTTTGACATCTACGTATCTGTTAAGAAATGCTATAAGATACTAACATTTCTTGGAATTTATGAGCCAAAATAGCTTATTCCATGTAGGTCTGTTGTCCGATTTGATCTGTACATGAATGTTTCGTGATTACATTCTATTAATCATTAATTTCTGTCGTGCCAATTGTCTTTTTGAAAGTTATATATGCAGTGAACTCCCGATACCGAAAACAGAATTTTCAAAGTTGATATTATGTGTTCACTGTGCAAAAGACTAATATATTAATTAAAAGATTCATTTTCTTTCAATGTATTTTTATATACAATTGATTAAATTTCATCTCATTTACCATGAATTGTGTTATTTTCAGTTGTGACCAGGACTGGGCGATGTAAGAAATTTTATATCGTGCTACATCATCTGTTAGACATCGCGATTTAACATATGTTCAAAAATTATCTATTAGAAATCCTTAAATTAATCAAAAATACATAAAAGGAATAAATCGATTACAAATCTAAAAGTCTTAAGTAAAAACAAACCCAAGCTTTATTTTAATTTTTTTTAAAAATTAAAAATGACTTAAGATTTATTGGTTTAAAAATAATAATAAAAGTAACAAAATATTTTACATACATGCATTAAAAATTAAAAGGGAAAAAAAAAAAATGAAAAAACAAACTAAAGAAAAGTTCTCTTTAGTAAAACATTTTTTAAATTATTTGTTGAAAAAAATATGTGCTTTTGAAGCGTTGTTAGACCTTTTTTATTTATTTATTTAAAATAACAAAGTTGTATTAACTAATGGTCTAATTCTATACTTAATAAATGTAACAATAAATTTAAATTTTTTATTTATTTATTATTATTTTCTTTTTTGAAAATAAAATAGACTATAGATTTATTTGTTTAAAAATGATACAGACTGTCTAACGAATAATGAAACAAACAAGTATTGAAAGAATTTTAAGAAAAATGTATTAAAAAACAACTTTTAAGTACTATTGTTAAGTTATTAAAAAGCGTCAAAACATTGCTACACTTTTTATTTTGAAGAGTTATTTGTTTACAAATAATTACATTATTATACTTATCTGCATTTTAAATGTATTTCCAATACGTTTTTAAAAAAAGCTAACTTTTTATAACAAAGTTAAATACGAAGTTCCCTATTAAATTGTATCGCTTAAAATGAAAAACAATAATAATAAAATAAAAATTAAGAATCTTTTTTTTTATTATTCATGTTTTCTTTTCATTAATAGATTGAGTTAAGAACGAAGAACAAAAATTTAAGATAATAGCGATTGCGCAATGATTGCCAATAACAGTAGGACTAAAAATAATTTACAAGAATCGTTAAATCCCGACAGACAGAAAAAGTGACAAAATAATGCACAATGAAGCGTTCGCTAAGTATTAAAGTGCATAGCGATCACAAANTTATACTTATGTGCATTTTAAATGTATTTCCAATGCGTTTTTAAAAAAAGCTAACTTTTTATAACAAAGTTAAATATGAAGTTCCCTATTAAATTGTATCGCTTAAAATGAAAAATAATAAAATAAAAATTAAGAATCTTTTTTTTTATTATTCATGTTTTCTTTTCATGAATAGATTGAGTTAAGAACGAAGAACAAAAATTTAAGATAATAGCGATTGCGCAATGATTGCCAATAACAGTAGGACTAAAAATAATTTACAAGAATCGTTAAATCCCGACAGACAGAAAAAGTGACAAAATAATGCACAATGAAGCGTTCGCTAAGTATTAAAGTGCACAGCGATCACAAAATAATGTAAATCCAGACGATATCAAAATAGTCTTCGTCTCTACGGTGACAGAGTTAGCGTAGGCAGGTATTCTCACATATAAAATCATTATATCGTTAAACCGCGAGCGTTGTGTTATATGACAGTTTAAATCAGATTTCTGATACATAGGCTAAAACGAAAATCAGATTTCTGATGCATCGCCTGAAACGAAAGTCATTATATCGGCCTGCTGATATATGTATTAAATTGATATTTTGCGGTGCATTGGTTTATAGCCCAGTCCTAGTTGTGTAACATATCATAAGACTTGCAATCAACCCAGGTTTTTTTTCTATGATGAAAAAAGCATATTCTTCTGAAAATTTTGAAATGATGTGAAATATTCAACTGAATTTGTTACCTGTGTTTGATGAAAGAACTGAAAAATGCATTTGAAAACTAAAATATAATAGAGAAATTGAGCTTCTGGTTAGAGGAGATGTAATGAGTAGTGATTTAGCCGAATATTCGGCCGAATAGCATTATTTTTTGTTTTAAAGAATCATTAATTAATATTATTAATGATTTTCTATGTATGTATATGAATAATTTAAAGTATAGTCATTGAAAAATTATCAAAGCTTAGCTATATTATTGATGTGAGAAGGACGGGGCGATGTAAGAAAATTTTATATTGTGATACATCGTCTGTTAGACATCGCGATATAGTGATGTATCGCGATTTAGCATATGTTCAAAAATTATCTATCAGAAATCTTTAAATTAATCTAAAATAAATAAAAGGAGTAAATCGATTACAAAACAAAATGTCTTAAGTAAAAATGAACCCAAGCTTTATTTTAATTTTTTTTAAAATTAAAAATGACTTAAGATTTATTGGTTAAAAAATAAATCTAAATAGTCTTGGTTTAAAAATAAAACTAACAAAATATTTTACATACATGCATTAAAAATTAAAGGGAAAAAAAAACTAAAGAAATGTTCTCTTTTGTAAAACATTTTTTAAATTATTTGTTGAAAAAAACCATGCTTTTGAAGCATTCTTAGACCTTCTTAAAATTTATTTATTTAAAATAATAAAGTAGTATTAACTAATAGTCTAATTCTATACTTAATGAATGTAAATATAAATGAAAGTTTTTTACTTATTTATTGTTATTTTCTTTTTTAAAAATAAAATCGACTAAGGATTTATTTGTTTAAAAATGATTGACTGTCTAACAAATTATGAAACAAACAAGTATTGAGAGAATTTTAAGAAAAATAAGATAAAAATACTTTTAAGTACTACTGTCAAATTATTAAAAAGCGTCAAAACATTGCTTAACTTTTTATTCAATTAAAAAAATATTTGTTTTAACTAACAGCCGAATTTTTAATAAGTAAAAGCGACTGAAGATTTATTTGTTTAAAAACAATCAAATTCTTTCAAATTATTATACTTACGTGCATTAAATAAATTTTTAAAAAAAAGTCTTAACTTTTATTAACAAAGTTAAATACAAAATACTCCTATTAAATTGCATCGGTTAAAATGAAAAGCAATAAAAAAATTAAAAAACAATGAAGACTTTTTTTTTATTCATATTTTCTTTTCATTAATAGTTCAGAACGAAAATTCAAGATAAGAGCGATTGCGCAACTATCGCCATCTAACAGTAGATCTACTAAAAATAATTGACAAGAATCGTTAAATCCCGTCAAACAAACAAAAAAAGAAGAAAATGACAAAATAATGCGCAGTGAAACGATCGCTAAGTAGCAAAAGTCTCACAGAAAATAATTTACAAGAAACGTCAAATCCCGACGAAATAAAGTGCACAGCGATCACAAAATAACGTAAGTGCAGCTGAAAATAATCTTCAAGAAAAGTAAACTTCCAAAGACAAAAATGGCTCATAAAGAAACTATGCATATTGTTGTATTTCAACGCTGATCCTCACGCGAAACCAAGAGTTCTGTTTCAATTCACTTTTCGTTAAATCAAAATAGTCGTCAGCGCGCTGGTAGCGTTAGCGTGGGCAAGGATTCTCACATGTTAAATCGTTAAACCACGAGCGTTGTCTTATATGACGGCTTAAATCAGATTTCTGATACATCGCCTAAGATGAGAGTCACTCTCCGCAGCTTAAATCAAATTTCTGATGCATCGCCTATGTACCTTTACCCCTCTAGCTGTGATCTCTAAATTTAACTTTAGTAACGGTTACCCAGGTTATACAGTAGGCAAGTATCGAATGAATTACAGGAAACTCTTAACATTTAAAACTCATTTTTATTGCAACTCTAAATCTTCAAAAAACATAATTCCACACATTTCCAAATGCTAACATGGGAATAAACACTTCCCTTTATACATTAATTAAAACAACATGCAACCTTAAAACACTCAAGCATAGCCTTCAATTCATACAGTTCAAANTTAAACAATTTTTGTGCAAAATTTTTCTGCACATGCATTTGAATATAAATTTCTGAGATTTTAAATCTGTTATTTTACCTTAATTTTAATTAAAAAATATTTTAAAACCTGCTGATTACCTATAGTATAATTAAATTTCAATATAATGCATGGCAACTGTTGGTAGTTTTGAAGTTTATATATTTTCTTGGCAAACTTCAGTTCTTGAAATTTTTGACGGTTTAAACCAGTATTATACCCTTGTCATGTCAAAAACCACTTTTTGACGTCAAAAACCCAACCCTGGCATCGCCTAAAACAAAAGTCATTATATTGGCCTGCCGATATATGCGTTAAATCGATATTTCGCAATGCATCGATTTATAGCCCAGTCCTAGATGTGAGGTAAAGGAAGAAAAAAACTATAATAAAAATATTTAGGATTATTAGATATTAAGATAATTAGATGTATTTAAGATAAATATAAAACTAAGTAACCACTATTAAAAAAAACTTAAGAGGTTACGTTGAACAAAAGGAAATAGAAGATCCCTTTGTTTTCAAAACAAAACTTTAAGGCTGAAAATAATATTTCGCAGAAAAAAATTATCCATGTAACATTTAAAAGAATATAATTTTAAAAAATACAGTGTGATCAGATAAACGCCAATAAAAAACATTATAAATTAAAGGAAAATAAAGATGAATCTTAATCTGTTGATCAATTTTAACAATTAATTAATTTTAATCAATTTTAATTAAAATTAATTAATTAATTTTATAAAATTAAATTTTAAAGTTAAACATTTCAGTTTTTCAATTACTATGTTTTGTTTTAAAGTAAGAATAAAGTCAAATTGACTACCGGTAGGCCAAATTTACTACCGTTTAGCAATACCTTCACAAATTCAACTTCAGTAAAAACACTTAGTTTCACAAAATACTTTTTCTTAAAATTTTATTTTTTTGTCCCGTAAGAGACGATAAATCAATATTTTTGTGTTGATTTTTTAATTTTCACAAATTATGTATAAATTTTCACAAAATATGTACCCCTCAGGAAAACCGAGACAGACCCCTGACAAATAATCTGTGTTTAATTGAAATTAAATCATATTCAAATCAACTGAGGAATGTTTAAAAAACTAAAATGCAATTTGTTAAGATGACTTATTTAAAGAAATTAATAAGATGGATAAATATATAGAAAAATGTAAAGTGCAATGATAAAATACAAAATTGGTTTTAAAAAAAAATATTTTGAAAAATCACTTTATTCATACAATACCACAAATTATTGAAGGTAAGCCAAATTGTGATAAGCTAAAGATTTAAAATCACTAAATTAATGAATGCAAAACAAAATTAATGATAAAAAATGCAATATATTTTGTTTCCTAATAAGGTAAAACAAAAATAAAAAAAATACAATTTAAACTAATCATCAAGGAAGAACAAGTTAAGTGAAAAATTTATTGCAAGAAGAAGAAGAATTAAGAAGAAGAAAAAACTCAAAACAACATAGAATCAGAACTGTATCATCTGTTAAAAAGAGAATCCTGCAATCTTCTTTCAGATAACATCTGCTTTTAGCAATAAATAATCCTATGCTTATGAATCATCTGCTTTTCTTTTTTTTTACCAAACAGAAAAAACATAAAACCAGATTAGTTTTTTCGAAAAGCAGATATGATGCCACATCAGGCAAAACTTGTTAATGATACTGCACCTCTGAGAAATCAAAATTCATTCAATTAAAAAATATAGTTCCTTTAATATATATCAAATAAATAAACATAGTAGATGATAACATAAAATTGATAAACAAAAATGGATTTAAAAGAAAACCTAACATGTCAATGCTCTCAAGGTAGAAGTTTAAAGTTACTTAAGTCGGACATCCAATTGAAATCACTCCAGAAATGCAAAAGAATTTTAGAATCTTGGATATACTTAAATGGTCCAGGAAAAAAATCTTTTTTTTTTATTCCCCTATTGTGCAAACACAAATTGAAGTTAAAAATGGAGGAGAGCAATTTGATTGGGTATCAAATTCCCGGTTTGGGGGCAAAATTACGTTTTTCCCCGACTTTTTTTTTTTCAAAACTCGTTTTCCCGGTGTGTATGAGCCCTGTGTTTATTAGAAATGCTGCGTCATAAAAAGAAAAGTTAATAAAAGAAGCAGTAAGGAAAAAGAAGAAAAAATTGTTCTAAGTTCTGAAATGTAACTATAAAGTTGAAAATCACACTTTTCTAGGTTAAATGTTATCCATCTTACTTAAAAAAGTAACAATAATAGGCTCTCTCTGTGTTTATTAGGTGGCGCCCTAACTTGAATTACTATTATAACTTGATTACTATAACTTGAATTAATGATCAATGGTATACTTTGTGGTGTGATTTTAACAATTTTGTCTTGCTTTTCACTTGTTGGAATATATCTTTGGTATTTTTGCAATTTATCTATAATCCATTTGGCAAAATTTGGATATAAATGTATTGTAGTATATCAAATCTATACTCATATTTAATCACTTTGAAAAGAAGAAATATCAACAATAATTTATTGTTTTTGTAAGTTCAGTAAATTTTTAGTGGAGATTTTGTGCTTGGGTCTGTAGTTGTGATTACCAATTAAACTAAGCATTAATTCCATCGTATTTTTATTTACCAATTTCTATCTTTAAGAAAAAGTATAATTTTGTTTTTAGTGACATTTTTTCTAAATGACTCTTTTTATATTTTTAGGTACTTATCAACTGAATTAATAAGTGATTTTGTATGATAGATATTTTTATCAAAATGAATGCCATTATAAGAGCGATAGTACTATGGCTAACTGCTGAATGCCACTCACAGCAAATTTTTTAATTCTTTTTTTTGTTTCAAAATGTTTACTAAAGCTAGTAATTCAAAAACTGAAAAGGTTAATGATTCTAATCTTGTTAAATTATCAAAAAGAATTTCTAAGCCTCTAATTAGCTTAGAAAGAGTTCCTGAAAAAGAACTGCAATTAACGAAAGAAGTTAGTATCAGATGTATTAATCGAAAAGAACTTTTCTTTGAAAAAGCATCTTGTAGTCCACCCGTTTGCAACATGCCACAAGGTTTACCTGACAAATCTGTTAAGACAGATAGAACTGTTCTTTCTGAAAATGGTTTTTTTAAGCAAGAGGATGTAGGAGATGGTGATTCTAATAACTTCTATGGAAAAGACTGGGATGAAATGGAATTTTTAGAAAGTTCTGTTTCTGCTAAGAATTACAATACTCTCAGTGACTCAAACAGAACTACTAGTGAAGCCTTGAATGGTAAATACGCGCGCACAAGGAAAAACTTGGGTAAAAGAATGTCAGCTGACAATATTGCTAATGGACTTGATAAAAAGACAAGTCTGCAGTCTTTTAAAACTGATGATAGTCATTTATCTTCTTGTATTACAAAATCTAATAGTGCAGCATTAAGAAAATTAACTCAACAGTCTATTTTAAATTCTTCTAATGCATGTATATCTCCTCAGAAACCTCTTTTAAACCCTGCATCATTCAACAGTGCTAGTACATCTAAAGTAAAACCATCTCTTTTAGAGATTGCAAAAAGGTTCACTGCCAATTCAAGTCTTGTTCCCACTGACAGTCCAACCAGTAAAGCTAATTTTCCGAAATCAAGCCTTTCATTTAAAAATTATATGAATAAATTAAGAAGTGAGCCTCCCAGAGCAAGGTCTGTGACTAATGTGTCTCTCCAGTCTTTAGTTCCAGAATCAATTGAAATATCACTTGTTCCAAATACTTTGAAGTCTCCCTTAAAAAAGAGTAATGTTAAAGATTGTAAACTAAAAGAAAGCACGCTGAAAAAACTACCAGTCTCAAATTCAAAGCAAGTAGAAAAGAATGCCAAAGCAATTAAGGTTAAACAAAGTACCAAAAAGAGAAGTTCAGAACCTGTAGGAAATGCAGAAAAAAAATCTAAAAGTGAGAAACATGAAAAAACCAAGATCACTAATGAAACAATTTATAACACATCACTCAATAATTCCATTCTAACAAATGTTACTGAAGCTGGTCATATTAGTGATAAAGAAATATCTTCATGGTTAGATGAGGAAATACAAAAAGGGGCTGAAGAACTACAAATAAAAGAGCCTTCTAATGTTAATCCTGTATCTCATGTTATTACTATGGATTCTGGTCTTGAAAATGGAAATGTGATAAATCCAACTTCTTACATATTCACTCCTACGTTACCAAATACCTTAAGCAATACCTATGTTCCATCCAATATGAATAATAATAATATCATTTATGATGTCAATTCATTTTCTTTATACCCACCTGTAGCTGCTCCCCCTTCAACCACTGTTTTTATTCTTCCTGTTTCTTCCAATTTCTCCACAGTCCCAGATACACCTGGTCATACGAATAGTCTCCCTCCTTCCCAACCGATTGTAAAAGTTACTTGCAATGGTATGGATGCAGACTCTGTTTTTAAAAGCATCTGTAAGACTTTTTATCAGTCTGCTGAAACTAGTATACAGAATTCAGATAGTGCAAATGCTATATATAATGAAACAAGTAACAATGTTGTTCAAACTAATTCCATAGTTCAAACATCTCTAACTGCCAGTTCTAGTACTTCTGCCCAACAACCAGGAACATCTGGGAATAATTCATCAGTTCCAAAAGAACCTGGCATTAGGGAAGTTTGCACTGCCGATCGAGGTTCTTTGGTATTGAGCTATTTTTGTGAACTCATGAAAAATAGTCCTAAACGTCCTTTAGAGGAATATAGAAGGGAAGCAAACAAGGTTTTAGACATTCTTTCATCTTTACCTCGTTATCTATCTGTTAAGTACTTTCACAGCATTGCAGAGGACTACTTTTCTGACTTATGCTTTCGTGATTCATCGTCCCTATGTACAAAATTCACATTTAATGAAAATTTGGAGGAATCTCGCCTTAATGAAGTTCTTAAGGAATATGTTTCTTTTCAGGTGAAAGAAATTGTAAAAAACTCTCAAAATGAACCTTTCTGTGTCAAATCAAATTTTCTTTTTAAAGCTTGTAACTCCAAATTGACTTATTTTGAAAAATTGGTATTGAAGAAGATGCTGAAAGGTAATCAGAGTGTTGATTTGGAAGAATTAATCAGTCGTCTGTTTTTTGTAGGATTAGTTGTGGTATTCAGTGTCCTAAAAAACAAAAGGGACAGTAAATAACTTTTAAAACAGTCTTGTATGTTTTAAATTTCTTATTCACCTGTTTTTTTTAAGTTGTGCTTATAAATATAGGCAGAAATGGTCTGACTCTTATTTGGAAAAATAATTCACATTTGCCTGGTTTTTCGAAGCTCTTTCACCATGAAAATAAAATTAAAAAAAAAAAAAAAAACAGTTTAAATTTCTTGCACTTGAAGAAGAGCTATTATTTTAAACTGAAATCTTGCCTTGAAAAATTACCTGGGCTTTAGAACAGACAAAGTTATTAAACTTTTTTAAAAGTTGTTAAACTTTTTAAAAATCTTTATATTGGTGGTATTTTTCCTCCTATGAAAATTTATCAAAATCAATGCCTTATTCTTATATTTTTGGCAAATTTTTATGAGCCCAGATAATGCATCATTGGATTAAGTTTTTAAATATTAAAAAATTAAACCACAAGCGCTTTTCATTTTCTCAAAACTGGTTTTTCTCCTTATTGACATTTCGTACCATTTTCAACATAAACAGAGGGCTAAACTTGCCTAACAGTCGAGTAACTGTTGAAAATTCACAGAAGTTATGAAAATAGCATATTCACAAAAACCATCATTTCATCTAATGCAACTACAGAGCTTACGAAAATCAGCATTAGCCCATTAATGTCAAAATCACTTATGTAAAAAAATTTCACTGAATCAATCATTAAACAAAAGCACTTTTCTTCTGGACGTATGCAAAAAAAGAAAGAAAATAATAGTAGACTTTAAAAAAAAAAGTACCTAAGTATTCATGTTTAAAAGTATTTTCTGCCAGTTTATGATGCATTTAAAAAAAGAGACCTAGCATTAATGAATTAATTTGCTTAATTGTTTCAAAAAAAAAATTAAAACAAGATTCGGGTTATCAAACTTAAAAGTTTTTCATTTTCATGAGTATGCTTTTTTGTTTCAATAGTTATTAAGTGTTGGAAAAATGTTTTGCTTTAAATGTTACTTTATTTTGGTAAGAAATCTAAATGTGATCTATTTTTTATCATCTGTTATATGATTAATTTTCAACAATATGTGTATTGTTTTATTATCCGTTTTGTTATTGTCTTTTAAATTAATGAAATGAGTTATTAAATTTACATAATAAATTCTATCCAATTTTTTTAAATATTTTTTTTAAAAAAATAACTAATAATTTAAAAATTACAATTTTCAAATTTTCATACATATAACTTTTAATTTTATTATTTTAAAGTGTTGTTGATAAATATTATTATTTTCTTTTCAATTTTGTGATTGCAGTTTTCTATTCACGTATAATTAGTTTTTAATGATCTGCAATTCTCTATATGTGTGATTTTATTTTCTCTCACATTAATGGCATTTGAATTTGAGGTCATTTAAGTGTTGAAATTTCATTAATTATTCATTTATAATTCATTTAAATTTATGTTGGAAGAATTAGAAAATTAAAAAAAAGCAATAAAAACTCTTTTTGCTAACATATTGAATAATTTTGCTTTCATTTTTACAATAACATTATATCATTTGTAATTATTCAGATATTCATATGAAATAAATATTATCTAAACACCTTATTTCTATAGATGTAACTCATTCATTCATCTGTTATTTTGTGATCTTAAACTGTCATCATTTCATATCTCTAAAATAAAAAAATGAAATAAAAAATTGTTATTTATTTATAAGATGTATGTTGTTAGAGAATATTTAAAAAGTATCATAAATCTAAAATATAAATTAAAGCAAAATTTCTATATCAGTATCTGAGCTAAAATGGTCAAGTTTTGGTAATAACCAGGCTGTGGCGTGTAAAATGTAAAAAGGGGAAAAATCACTGAAATTTCAATTAGGAAAATTTGTTACGTGCAAACTGAAAGAATAAGACTAGTTATTTTGATTATTTCCAATTACAAGAACCATACAGTGGCTCTTGGCCTTTTAATTTTACGTGAACAAGTATTGTAAAACATGGTTTTATCATCAATCTTTTTTTAGTTATTGCCATAATTTTCACGGTTTTTAGATTCATTTTCTTTTTTCTAATGCGATGATGACTAGCAAAGTTCGAGAAAGCAAGAATATTTAATTTTTTTAACGTATATATTCCTATTTGTGTTGATGAAGAAAAAAAATTATTATGTAGATAAATTTTTTTCTCTTAAAATTTTGTAAATGTTACCTTTGTGCATAAGATGGTAGCCTTTAAAATATTTTCTATGCACGAAAGGAAAAAAAATTAAGTATTAAAAAAGTAGATAATTTATTTTTCCAACGATTGCATGTCTCTAATATGTCAAAAATTAACGAATTGCTAATATTTAAAGAAAGGTAGTTAAATTTAGATTCTGTGTCATAGCGTAAAAGTACTTATGTACGCTTTTTACATTGCTATCGAAACAAGTAAAGTATTTTTTCTCCCAATGCCGAGAAAGGTAGATTTGTTGGCCGCTGTCTCAGGGGTGGCACTATGGCAGGTGGGCCAACGTTGCTCCCACTATAAGAAGGGCATAGTAGAGCGAAGAGAAGGAGAGAACAGTCATGTCATTCAGGACCTTCTTCCTCGGTATCTTCTAAGATACCGAGGTCAGCTGCTCGACTATCTTACAACAGGACGGACCCTTGCGCAAAAAATCGAGATATAAATGAGGTATTTTTCAAAGGTATAAAGGAGGTTGTTATTTAAATACGTCGTTAGGTTGAAAAAAGTGCAAATGAATACCTCAAAATTAAACTCAAATATATCTCCAGAGGTATATATGCATCAACCTGAGGTGTTTAATTTTACATCTGTAACGAAGTAGATCTTTAATACTTAAAGGTGTTTCATTTTTAACCTTAGGTTATAACTTATTAATCTGAAGTATATTTTTTTTAACACTTCAGGCTATTATAAATCTACCTCAAGTGTAATTTTTTTACTAACGTGAGGTGTATTACGTTCGACCCCGGGTAATTATTTTTCAACCTCAAGTATCTAATTTTATGCTTGTAGAGGTATTTATTTATCAACCTTAACCTATGATGCAGCGTTTTACACTTCAGGTTATTTTTTTGACAGTTGCAAAGGTAATTTTTACTAACGTGAGGTGCATTATGTTCTACCTCAGGTAATTATTTTTTAACCTTAAGTATAGATTTTTATGCTTGTAGAGGTATTTATTTATCAACCTAGGGTTAGCCGTTTTACACTTTAGATTATTATACATCAACCTCAAGTGTATTTATCGACCGTTGAATAGCTTGATTTTTGAGGTGTTCGATGTTCTACTTTAGGTTGTTATTTTTGAACCTCAGGTATAGATTTATATAGTTGTCGAGGTATTTATCTACCTAAGGTGTGCCATTTTTCTCTTCTGGTTATTATAAATCAACCTCGAGTGTATTTTTTGACACTTGGAAAGGTTATTTTTTATTAACATCATGTGTTCCATGTTCTACCTTAGGTTATTATTTCGTAACCTCAAGTATATATTTTTTAGAAGTATTAATTTATCAATCTAAGATGCGACATTTTGCACTTCAGGCTTATGTAACTCAACCTAAAGCTTTTTTTTTTAATACTTACGATGGTAATAATTTCCAAACGTGAGGTGTTATATCGTCTGTCTACCACCTAGTTTATTAATATTTAACGTCACTGTATAAAGAATATACCTTGGAATACCAAGGAATATACTATATTTGAAGAATAATGTTTATCATTACATTTTTTCAGTAGTAGAGTTCTTCATTTATCAACCTGAAGTTTTTAATGTTAAACCTTCAGCAGTAATTGCTTCTTTTGTTAAGCTTTAAACGAAAGTTTCAAGTGCATAATTCTTCTGTAATTTTAATAGATTGAAATAACACTTATCCATTTAATAGATTGAAATAACATCTCGAATTAACACTTATTCGAACTCTTCAGTTAGAAAAAATTATTTGTGGGAACTCATATTTTTAGAAGATAGTTGTCTAAGGTGCTTGAATTAGTCAGCTGAAGTTCAAATTACTTTTATTTAAAACTAAAATTTCATTTTTTTTCACAAACCAACAAAATTATTTTAAATACTGTTTCCGTCTATCTGTTGAAACTTGGAAATATTGGAACTTAAAAGAAAAAAATATGAATTAGCAAGAAAGTCATTAAAATATTAGAATTTTCTTCTTCAGATAAATGGCATTCCAATTCTGCATTTCTATTCAATCCTCGTCCCTAAAAAATGTGACAGGTATCACAGCCAAAAAATAAAGTACAAAGAAAGTACTACCATTAACAACATTTACAGGAATTCAAATATATAATTCCAATCTTCTTATGAAATTTTAAATTTTTTTATTTTCCTACAAATCTGGTATCATTATGGTACAGTCCGCAAAAAAAAAAAGATATCACCCTGAATAACTTTCGTTCTAATGATCGGATTTTCGCGAACTAAGTGTTAATCATAATGGTTCCTGGGGGTGGCCTCAAATATGCTAATTAATTAGTGCTAACTATTAATTAAGTTACGAAATCAGACACAAAAACGTACTTTCTCTGAATAAACATATATTTTTT